CCCCAAAACCCCAAAACCCCATTCAGGATTGTAATTGATATAATTTAAGAATTGATCCAAATTTAACTAATTTATTATAAAATAAGTACGTTTTCAAATCCAAGAATAACGCAGTGTCATTCAAATGGTCTTTTTCAACGAGAGTTTCATGTTATATCTCTCTCTAAGATCTGATTCTGCTTTCACAGTATTGTTCTGAAGGTCGCTCATCTGTTCCACTGTTAATGGACCCATCGGAAGTGTAGAGTTAAATTTTTCGGCAAAATGCTTAAGGATGAAATAATACTTTGCATATTCTCCACCCTTTATTATAAGATCGAAATCAATTAACTACAGAAAAATTTTTTCGAGAGAAGCAATTTCTTTAAGAGTGATGTCCGGCATAACTTATGGAAAGTGAACATTTTCTAGTGAATCATCATCCCAGATTTTAGATGCTAAGGTGAGAGATATCAGAGTCAGTCTCTTCCAATTTGCGTGATTCATTAATACTCCTGTCTTGGTAAGGAATCTCTCTATATAATTGAGACATAGAATTGGTATCTCCTTCTCCATTCTGCCTGATATAATTACGTATTTGCAGTAATAATATAACTCTTCAATTGTAGGGTTTCCCATGTAAACAGATTCACCACCTACAAGCTAATCTCTCTCGAAATCATAGTTTTGGTCAAATATTCTCATCTAGAATCTAAGCAAATCTTTGAATCCTTGCTTTGTCTTGACGTCAATCTTTATCTCATTCACCATCTTAGACTAATGTTTTTTCTCCTCTTCATCCTATTTCTTTCTCACTTATTCAACTTCAGACTTTGATAGTATTGGCTTTGATTATTTTCTTGGACTTGGATTAGATTTAACATCAACCTTAGCCAAATCTACATGCTCGTGACTTCTACCGAATCCATCATCCTCACTATCACTTTGTTCTATTTTTCTAGTCCTTGTGTCGCTTTTTTCACTTTCACTTTATTCCAAATTCTCATCAATCGGATTCATTTTACTTGCCATCATATTCTTACTTGTGATTTGATTGACCATGTGAGAGTCTCTAAATGAGGCTCCACTTTTCATTTTTGAGTATGAGCTCAAGAAGGTATTTAGTAGCTAACTTGATTATATATTTGAACCTTTAATTAAGGTACTTTAATTCTAAGATTTCAAAAAATCCTCTAAATGGGTCTGTGAATAATCGAAATCAATATCTTCATCACCCTCTCCGTGCTCCTCGTGGTTTTGCTACTATTATCCATCACTTCTCTTTTCACTCACATCTTCATAGTAGTCTTAGATATAATCAGACTCCTCCACCTCATCTTTTATATCTTGCTCATCATCCTTAATTATTTCTGTCTCATCTTGAATATCATCTTCCACTAAATCCTAATTTAACGCTTTTTATTATTAGACTTCCTATTTCACTGGCCTTTTAACTTCTTCGTACTCTTTGACATTTGTCTAAATTTTCTTTTGATTCTAGGCAGTGGATTCCAACTGCATCTTTTTTTTGAGTTCTTCAAATTCCTTCTTCTACTACTATTCCTTTTCAGCTTTTTTCTATCTGGCTAATTCTAAATCAATCTTCAATTGATCCTAGATATTGTATGTAAAGCCAAAATTCATTTAAGAATCCAACTAGCTAGTGTTCTTCAGATGTTCTTGTAAATCATCTATGAAATAGTAACCCTAAGAAAATTCAATATGCTTCATTAAGGCATTTGCAAGACAATAGCAGATTTATTTTAAATCTAGGTAGCCTAGGGCACTCGTCACCTATTTAGAATTCAAACTCTAACCACAATTCCATAATCTGTCTCTTTCTTCTTTTTCTATTAAAGGACTCATCGGACGTCTATGTGTTGGCGGTTCTTCATACACTTATTGTTTTTTGTAAAATTTAGTTGTGACATTAAGTTTTGAATCATCACCAGCTGAGAGTGGATTCATAAAACTAGCATCTTCTCCAGGCTAGGTGATAAGCTACTATGTGGATTGAGAATTCTAATTCTATTTCTAGGCAATATTATATTACTCTTTCACAGCCATGGATAGGGCGATTGGGTCATTAAGAATGTTTAGAGCTTCATTGATTTAAGTATCACTCAATGATATATCTGACTAAGTTGGCATCTCATCATCTTCTGGTACCACATCATCAATGCTCTTATCATTATCATTCAAAATAGTGATTCTGCTCTTATCTTAATCATCCTTAAAAACTTCATAATTCTTTGTCTAAACGCTTTATTTAGTTGCAGGTCTCTAATCTGACTGCTTAGAATGTATTTCATTTCTTGGAGGTGGTAAATCCTATTAGACTTAATTCTGCTATTAAATCATCTGATTAAATTGAGACTAAGCTGATTATGGTTTTATAAACTACTCAAGATGCTTATTAATCTAGTCTATGTCCTTCATTGCCTAAGCCATACCTTACTTCAAATCCGATGCTTATTGTAATCCTGTTCGCTTATCCAGAGCATCCTTATTGTTGAAGTTCTTATATTATGAGTTTGCTGTGTACTTTCGAAGCAATCCTTCTATTTCTTTATTATAATTGTCATCTTGCTTCACCTACTCTAGTACTCTATTACCATATCCTAGATATGAGACAGGAGGGAATATATGGTTTATAGCATTTTTGCTGTCTTCTTTATTTACATGTTAAGACATGAGTTACCCAATACTGTATTTTGCACTCTCAAGATTGGCCAAAAATGTCTCATTGAATGCTTGTTTGGTCAGTGGATCTAAATTTTCATATTATTGTAGAAGTGATTTAGATGTTGTTGAATGAATATTCATTCGGGGTTTGTATGCTGAAGTTATTCTCTTTGGCTTTTTATCGGTAGCAGTTATCGCCTAGCTCCCTCCCGGTGTAAATTGCTTTAATTATTCAGCAAGTGCTTTCTTTGGATAAAGCTATTTATGTTAAAACTATCAAGTAATAATACATCATCAATGACATCGAATAAACTGACTAATTTGGCATTATGTCCTGGAAGTACTTTGAGCTAGCCAATTATATCTTATCTTTATTTCTCTGTTAGAAGAGCTAATTTGTAAATTTCCTCTCCATATCCTAATTCTGCAAGTCTCTAATTTAAAAAATCATCAAAGAATTGTAATACCAATGCATATTGCTGAAGTTTGAATGCTTTTAACAGTTGGAATATAGGCAGATCTGATATTTTGACCTCTCCTTAATGATCAGAGTAAATTTCCTCGCTCACAGCTAATGCTACTCCTCCTATTTTTGTAGATACTGAAGTATTAGTATGATTGAATCCCTTCGAACTAGAAACACTAGTACTTGGCTATTTTGTTCCAAATTTCTTAGGTTAAGTACCTTAAGATAAGCATAAATTGAAAAAAGATAATATACTAAGAGTTGGCTTGGCCTAAGATATTTTACTATTATATAGTTGCTTCCTTCTATTTTCTTCCCAGCGCTTCATTTTATGATATTAAAGATTTATTGAATTAATTACTTATATATTTAACTTTGAATTTAAATTTCTTAAGAATCAACTTAATTACAAATGCTCAGAAAACATCTGCAGTTACAATAGTAAATGCAACAGTAGCAGCTTATGTAGCAGTAAGACGATTATGATAACGAAGACGATGAATAAGAGCAACTTGACGAAGACGAAGAAGGTATGATATAATGAAGGCAATATATTTATTTAGCAATAATGATGATTTTGCAATTGGGAAATGACATATTAGGGGCATTAGGAGCTGAGGAGATCGTTCGTGATGTGGAAGTATTCTTTAGGTATAATTATAATTGATCCAATATTAACTTAAAATAGCGATGCATTTTATATTCAATACTTCCAAGCAGTATTCCCCAGTATAGTTGAATTTCAACAAATTGAGCCAGGGAGAAATGAGTAAGATATGGCAGAGAACTTACAAGATCTAATTGATTTTCTTGGTGATTAGATCATAAAAGTTGACTTGACTGCTATTAGTGGGCCTGAGATAATTATGGGTAATCCAATCCACTGTATACAACTTTTGGAACTTCTACATGATCTTACTGCGAGACTCGGAGATGAAGGTAGTGAAGAAGATGATGAAATGGATGATGAGGAAATTAGGTAACTAATGTAAGCGAAATAAATGGAATAAAATAAAGTAAAGGGTAAAGGCTAACCTGCAGCGGCCAATCAAAAGCTTGAACCAATTAACAAAAAGGGAAGTCAACAGCCTAAATAAGATTTACAAAAGAATGATGCTCAACCTAAATCTAAGAAAGCTTTGGCTATGTAAATGGCAAAGTAGTAGCAGATGAAGATGGCTTCTGATGATTTTATGGATGAAGAAAGCCATTAAGAGTCTGATGAATATGGAGATGAATCAGATGAAAAAGAAAAGGAATTCAAGAAGGAGTTGGAAATGATGTAGCAGAAGGCTAAGTTTTAATAGTAATAACAGGATGCATAAAAGACCTAGGCTAAGCCTTTAGATCCAAAAACTTAAGCAGTAGCGAGTAAAAATGATAAATCTGACTAGAGTTAAGTTAAAAAAATAGAAATTAAACCCTAGGCAAAGAAATAGCAACACTATGATGAAAGTGGGGATGAGGATGATCTGTATAATGAGGATTTCGAAGATGATTTCCAGGATGATGAAGATGATGAATATGGAGAAGAAGATGAAGAATTAAATAATAGAATCAACAATTTGAAGCCTTAACTAAACAAACAGCAGCCTGAATAAAACCCTTAAGAGAAAGTAGAAATAAAATTAACTTAGCCAGCTACTACAATTTCTAAGGCTGAAAGCAAGCCTGAACCTTAAAAGCAAGCAAAAGTAATTGAGAGCGATGCTGATTCAGATGAAGAACCTATTAAAACTTAAATTCAACCTATTGTTTAAACTAAGGCTGACAGTGTCAAAGCCAATAATGTGTCTAAAAAGTCAGAAGATGATGAATTTAAGGATTATGATGATATTGCGGACGATGATTATGATGAAGAATTTGATGATGGTGAGTCTGAGCCTGAAGAAAAGCCAAAGCAAAAAATAGTTTTCCCACCATCTTCTCAGCCAGCTCCAGTATCCAGCAGCAATCCTCCAGTGAAGAAGGTTTGGGAGAAGAAAGATCCCTTAAGTTAATTTGTGACAATAAAAAAAGATGAATAGCCTAAGGAGGACGAGTAGAAATTATAGGAATAGAAAAGACAAGAAGAAGAGTAGAAGAAAAAAGATGAGGACTTGAAATAACAATAGGAACTGTAAAAACGAAAAGATGATGAGGAAAAACAAAGGTAGAAAGTACTCTTAGAGAAGCAAAAGGAGGAGGAAGAAAAATTGAGAAAATAAAAGGAAATAGAGCAAGCACAAAAGCAGAAAGATGAAAGTGTAGAAGAGTCAATAGAAGATGAGTTTGAAGATTAGTAGTTTGATGATAAGGAAGATTTAGACTCTGAACCAGAAGAGCAAAAATAAGAGAATAAAAATCTTGCTCAAAGATCAATATAAGATAAGAATTCAGTAATCGAGCAGGAGAAAGCATAGAGCCTAAAAAGTAGTGTTTAATCATAAGCAAGTAAAATAGCAGAGATAAAATAAGAACAGACAGTTAAATAAGAAGAAAAAGTCTAAGAATAACCTAAGAGAAATTTGCTAGCCTTCTAAAATTTGAATAATAAATAAGTACCAATACCTTAAAGCAATCCAATTCAATAAAAGCAATAACCCCTAGTGACTTAAGATCAATACACTTATGATATTGATCTTACCAAACCTATAGAAAAACCTCAACCTTAATATAAATAGCAGCCAATACAATAATAGCAGCACATCCCTCTTAGTTAAAATATTTAATCTGGATTTTTATAATAAACCTAGCCTATTAATTAGACTTAACCTTAAATACAAAAATAACCTGAAAAAGAACTATAGATATAATAGCTAGTTCTCTCCACATAAATAATTTAAAATTCTACTCCAAATCGACTTAGAGATACCTCAAATATTAGATAAAATGAACAATCTCTGTATTAAGCTTAAGATGAGGGAAGATTTGATATTTAAATTAGCAAGAAAAGTTAGTAAAACATTAAGGAACATGAAGATAATAAAAGAAAAGAGGAACTAAAATAGTTTGAAAACTACATTCTCAGAAACCTAGAAAATCTTGACTTAGAGGACAGACATCAGCTATTGGAATATATGGAGGATGAATATGACAAAAATCCAGGATTATTCCCTTTCCCTAAGGAATTATTGGAGGAGTTCTTGATTAGTGAACTGTAAAAGAAAAAAGAAGCACAATTAAAGGAAGTCAAAAGATAGAAAAAATTAGCTAAGTAGAGAGAAAAGAAAAATATATAGAGTAGTAATTTCAAATCTCATAGTAAATCTCAAAATATAACTTAGAATAATCAAAGTTAAAGAAAATTAATTGAACTCAGCAAGAAGAAAGCAAAGGGACAAAGTGAAACCCAGTTATAAGAGGATTTGCAAAATGATAATCAAAATGATAATCACTAAATAAATTTTGCTCCTAAATATAATAAGAGACCATAGTCAGGATCAAAATTAAGTAACATGAAATAAAAAAAGATTTAGAGACCTCAAAGTGCAATGCCAAGAGATTAAAGAATTGATATAAAGATGCCTACTGAAAACAGTAAATAGTATTAGGATATGTTCTAGTCTAAATTTTCCTCCTCAAAAAGACCAACGAGTTCAAAACGATCAAAATCAAAAAAGAGATCAGAAGCTAACCCTTCTTAGTATTAGATAAACTAACTAGTTCAAGCATTGAGTCCTAAAGAACTTAAAAATACCCCAATGTTTATGAATATGCAATCTCACTCACCCACGAGATCAAATAAAGAAAACTAGGATCTAAATTTTGTAGATGACGACAGCATTAAGCATATGTCTAAGGAATAATTATAAGAGCTTTTCAAAAAATAATAAAGATTATTACTAAAGTAGCAATTTAAACCTGTCAATACTATTTACTCTACAGCTACTCGCCCTAGAACATCATAATCTAGAGGGAAATCTTCTTCAAAGAGATCATAGTAAAAAAAAGAAAATTAAATCAAGAAAGTCAGCATTAACACCAACCTTCAATCTTACGTCAGCAATCCTTTCAATATTTAAAAGCAACTTACAGATAGTATAGCTAAGATTAAAGCTCCTTAAGGATCAACTATGATTAACAATTTTTTCCTAAATTTCAATGATTTACTTAATAATCAGCATTAGTAGAATTCAATCAATAATCAACTTGCCAGTAACAGTAATATAACTTCACAAACTTCATAAGACCATGCAACTATCAAAAGCAATAATCCTAGCACCTAGCCATTCTTTAAAATATCTGATTAGGAATTAGTAAACCTTCTTTAGGCTGGACAGATTGGAACTTTTGAAAAGTAAAACGAATTAAAAACATTTTTGGAGTAAAAGATTATTGAAAATCATAACTCAGAACGAAATAATTTTTATCAAAAGATCTACGATATATTGTAAGGAAGTGTTAATAAAACATATTAAAGAATGAGTGAAAGTGAGAATAAATAACCAAGAAAGCTCAAGGAAGATAATGAGGATATCTAGCGTATCCTAAAATAGAAAGGAGATCTTGAAAACCTTTTTAAGCAATATAATATATAGGACAAGAAAAAAGATGCTTATGAGAAGGCATAGTAAGAAAGATAAGATAAAATTAGATTAAGAGAGCTAAAGATGCAATAAATACAGGAGAAAAAACTTAAAGAGTAGCTTGATGCGCATTAGAAAAAGGTATCATATGAAAGGGAAAATTAGCAGAGGATGCTATCTGATAAAATTATGGGTCTGGCTACCAAGATAGAGAAGCAGAAGTTATTGACTGAGAAAAAAGAGTTGAATGAATAAATAAAGTAGAAGCAAGAAATGGGCAAAAATCTTCTCATGAAGATTGATTCAGTCTATAACAACAAGATTAGTATGCTAAAGGATAAAATTAAATCTGAGAAGTTTGACCGACAAATAGCAAGTTCAGCTTAGAGAGAAATTTTAGATAAAATGAAAAGGGAAAACCTGGCATTTAAAAAGATGGTTGGTATTCCAACTGAAATTAAGCAAATCATGAATAGACCGTGATAGTGATCCGCTAATAATTTTGATATCTCATCAACTTATATATATTTTTACTTACTGAAATATTTAAATTTTATTCGAATGGGGTTTTGGGGTTTTGGGGTTTTGGGGTTTTGGGG